TTTGTGGCAGGGCACTGAAACAATCCTGCAGAGTGCTTCTGTGTCTGTTGTTTATTGTGGGACCTTTTGTGCGCCATTGCTGGCTCCTGTGGACATTAAGGATCATTACTCAACATGTCTATTGGCACTGGTGTTAAACTGTAGATGTTCGACACAAATGGGCTTTCATATGCTGGCTCTTTGTCGATCTATTTGCTCTGGTGTAGTTTGGGTTTTTCCCCTCCTTATCTTCTTTTTACACCTAAGAACATAAGAGCCAGGAGATCACCACCTCTGATGTGTGATGACTCCTTGCCCTCAGAGCTGATGAAAGTAACTGCTTGGGACCAGTGTTCCCTCTAAGCTGAGTTAGTGTGAGCTAGCTCACAGTTTTTTAGCCTCTGGCTCACACATTTTTGCCTTAGCTCAGGAAGGATGGCTCCAGAGCAAACTAACTGATGCAGCAGCCAAATCGCTCACTCACAACTTTAATGCTAGTAGCTCACAAAGTAGTTTTTTGCTCACAGGGCTCCACAGCTTAGAGGGAACATTGCTTGGGACACGGGCGTTCTTGATTCCTATGCTCTGGGGTCAAAGTCCTGCTTCTGCCCAGTCCATAAACCTGTTTGACAAGATCACTGCGAAAGTCACAACTACTCCAGGCAGGAGTTGCTGTGCTTGGTGGTGCTTTCATGGGCTCAGTGGTGGTTTTAATTTTTTTTTAAATTTAAGATTAGAGTTACACAAAGGAGGGCTGGGGTGGGGTGACCTGCACAAGGAACATTTTAATGTATGCTGTTGTTAAATTTCTGAATTGCCTGATCCCTGCTACTTACAGGGCTCTGAGTGATGTACAGCATTCAATAAAAAAAACATTGATGGCATTAGAATAAAATACATAAACATTACTAATACAAAAAAATCCCAAAGAATCAGATGGTGAATTTCACTTTGCTTCCCATTCTGGACTGCCAGCCCACCTCATGGGTAGGGGGGAAGAGGAACAGAGCACGTCTGGAGAGCAAAGGAGAGGGTGCCGGCCGGAATGGGAACTGTTGCTCTTCTCATCCAAAAGCCTGGCAGAACATCTCCACCTTACAGGCCCTGTGGAATTGTATAAGATCCTGCAGAGCCCTGACGGTATTCAGCAGGGAGTTCCACCAGGTTGGGGCCAGGACCAAAAAGGCCCTAGTTGAGGACACCTGGGTATCTTTAGGGTCAGGAACCACCAGAAGATTGCTATCCAAGGAGTGTAACGCTCTCCTGGGGACCTACCGGAGGAGATGGTCCCGCAGATATGTCGGTCCCAGACTGCTCAGGGTTTTAAAGGTCAACACCAAAACCTTGAACTTGACTTGGTACTCCACTGGAAGCCAGTGCAGCTGGCACAGCACAGGTTATATATGTGCCATCCGTGACGTTCTCGTCAGGACATTCTGGATCAGCTGGAGCTTCTGGGTCAGTCTCAAGGGCAGGCCAGTGTAAACTGAGCTACAGTAGTCTAACCTGGAGGTGACTGTAGCATAGATTACTGTGGCTAGGTCAGGGCACCACAGGGAAGGGGCAAATTGCCCAGCCTTGGGCAGGTGAAAAAACACCAGCCTGGCAATATGCATGACTTGAGCCTCCAAGGAGGCATCCAAGATTATGCCCAAACTCTTGATGGACTGCACTGGTGTCAGTGGTGCCCCGTCAAGAGTGGGAAGTCTGTGCCCCAGCCCCAAAGCCCCCCCCCAGCCACAGAGCCTCTGAGTGGGAGTCAATCTCTCAACCTGCTTTTTTTTTTAACCACCCCATCATGGCCTCCAGCCAAGTTTTGCTGGGCTGCGTCTGGGTTGCTTTCCAATAACAGATACAGCTGGGTGTCATCAGCATACCTGTTCCGTCTGACGCTGAGTCAACAACGCCTTCTGGACGTGATTCAACGCACGGGCCAGAGTCAAGTAGAATCAAATCATTTTTATTCAGTTTCACATGCATTCAGAAGAGCTCTACTCACATGAAAGCTGCATAACTGGTGAAATTTACATCTTTGTAATCTAAGAGAGCCAGTTTGGTGTAGTGGTTAAGTGTGCGGACTCTAATCTGGGAGAACCGGTTTTGATTCCCCACTCCTCCACTTGCACCTGCTGATGTGACCTTGGGTCAGTCACAAGCTCTGGCACAGCTGTCCTTGAAAAAGAGCAGTTTGTGTCAGAGTTCTCTCAGCCCCACCCACCTCACAGGGTGTCTGTTGTGGGGAGGGGAAGGGAAAGGAGTTTGTAAGCCGCTCTGAGACTCCAAGTGAAGGGCGGGGTATAAATCCAATCTCTCTCTCTCTCTCTCTCTCTAATTCAATTCGCTGGCTCATGGTGAAAAAGATTGCGTGCTCCGAGCTCCTTGCCGTTTAAAGCGTAGACAAAGAAATGAGAAGAAGGTTGTAAAACTCAAATCCCCGCGCGCCTGGGTGCAGGAAATGACTGTCGATCAGCCAGTCACAGGAATGCTTTTGGATGTCTGACTAAAGACTTCAATTCCCAGGGGCGACTGCTCTTAAAGATATATGGCAGTTTTACTTAACTACAGTGAAACGCTGGCTGGGGGCAGCACAATACCCAAGCCCAAAACTCCACGCCAGCCGGGCAAGGGGGCGCATACAGATGTTAAATAGCATCAGGGAGAGAAGCACCCTCTGAGGCACCTCAAACACTTCCCCTCCCAGTGCCACCCTTTGTCCCCAGCCTCTGAGAAAGGGGGACAGCTATTGAAGGGCCACCCCATGAACTCCCACATCAGTGAGGCGGTGGGTCAAAGGGCCATACTTGACCATGTCAAAGGCTCCTGTGAGATCTAGTAACCAGCAGAACAACTGCATGTGGAACAAAATTTCACCTAAAGATAATTAAACTACGCAAACTGTTCTATGAAAATTAATTTTATATCATATACACAATTCATAAATACAAATTCTAAAGTTATTCGTATACCAACAGTATCAAAATTCAGTTTCTCAAGTCATTGGGGGGGGGAATGTTCCCACAGTCCATCAAATGCTCAAAAGTCATGCTGTTGAAGGTGCTCGGGTGTCTTCAGTTTTCAGAAACAGAAGCCACGTTCCAAGTTGAAACTAGATAACCGAGCCACAACATTGATATCCAAAGACAGTGGTCCCAATGAAGTCCTCCTACAGGCATGCTAGCAATGTTGTTCCACATTTTGCCTGGGAAGGCTTTTTCAAGTAGGAACCACTTTCTCAAAACAGGATATCACTGAAACCGAAACTCAGGCATATTCTTCCAAAATATCTACTCAAGGCTTTCTCCTGGTTTCTCCTGGTTACAAACCAGTAGAAACCAGCTAAGAGCAGTTACAAACCAGAAGAAATTAAGAGTAGTTACAAACCAGAAAATGGTTCCTACTTGAAAAAGCCTTCCCGGGCACAACGTGGAACAACATTGCTAGCATTCCCATAGGAGGACTTCATCAGGACCGCCGTCTTTGGATATCAGTGTTGTGGCTTGGTTGTCTAGTATCAACTTGGAACGTGACTTCTGTTTCTGAAAATTGAACACACCCAAGCACCTTCAAGACAGTGACTCATGAGCCTTTGATGGAACGTTTGTATTTTTTTGCCCTATGGTTTGAGAATTTGAATTTTGATATTGTTGGTATATGAATAGCTTTGGAGTTTGTATTTATGAATTGCGTATATGACATGAAATTTTCATAGCATAGTTTGATTAGTTTAATTATCTTTGTTTAGGTAAAAGCAATTTTTTTACACGCAGTTGTTTTTCTGGTTACAGTTTCACTGTGTGTCCCACTGTGTTTTGTATTGTGAGATCTAGTAACAGCAGTAGCACCAATCTGCCTCGATCCAGTGGTCTGCGAAGATCGTCTGTCAGGGCACCCAACGCCATTTCTGTCCTGAGGCAGGTCCGGAAGCTGGCCTGAAATGGATCCAATGCCAATGTGTCATCCAGGAAGCCCTGGAGATGCTCAGCTACTACGCTCTCAGTTACCTTACCCAGCTTTACAACTCCCACACTATGTTTCTATTTTACCTTGCATTTGTTTTTATGATTCTGGAGAGATCTTGCTGTCCCCTGTATGGAACTATTGCTCTGTCTATTTTGTGTTTGGTTTTGTAATAAATTAAATGGGTAATAAATTTTAAAAAAATTACCTCACCCAGGAATGACAAATTTGAAACTGGGCAGTATTTGGCAGGATCAGAAGGATCCAAAGCTTGTTTTTTTTAAAGAGGGGTACAACCACAGTCTCCTTAAGACCCTCTTGATAGACCCCTGCTTCCAGGTACAGATTGACAATGTCCATCAGTGGGCCCCAAATCTTCTTATCACTGGGTTTCACCAGCCACAAGGGACACAGAACTAGGAGGCACATGGTTGGTCTGACAGCACTCAGGATCCTGTCAGCATCAGCAAAGGAGAACAGGCTGAAGGTATAAAAAACCAAATCCAAAGGTGGCCAAGGGGGCTCCAGTTCACATACTGTATCGATACTGGCAAGCAATGTTCCCTCTAAGCTATGGAGTCTTGTGAGCAAAAGTTCTACTTTGTGAATTACTGGCATTAAAGTTGTGAGCGAGCGATTTGGCTACTGCATAAATTAGTTTGCTCTGGAGCCATCCCTTCCTGAGCTAAGACAAAAAAGTGTGAGCCAGAGGCTAAAAAACTGTGAGCTAGCTCACACTAACTGAGCTTAGAGGGAACACTGCTGGCAAGTAGGTCACAGCAGAGTGTCAGGACTTTATCTGCAAAAAAATTCACAAATGCCTCACAGCTAATAACCGAATTTCTACTATTTTGGCTCCCCTTTGTAAGGGATGTCAAAGACCTAATCACCCCAAACATTTGTGCCAGGTGTGAGCTAGCAGATGCGATGGAAGCTGAGTAGAATTCCCTCTTCACAGCCTGCACCGCCACCTCATTGGATTTCATAAGCATCCTATGAGATGCTCTTATTAGCTTCATTGCGAACCTACCACCAAACTCGCTCAAGTAATCTGAGTTCCTGTTTCATCCCCCTAAATTCTGTAGTATACGAGGGGGATGATCTACAATGAGAACACAGAGGACGTCAGGGAGCAACTTCATTGATGGCTTCAGAGAGACGGGAGTTCCAGTTCTCTATCAGCTCATCCAATGAGGCGCCGGAATGCATCGGATCCCGCAGAGCATTCTGGAATCCAGTTGGATCCATTAGTCTCTGTGGGTGAACATAAATTACCTTGCCGCTTAGAGAGGGGGGAAGATAGGAACACTCAGCTGGGCCTTCAAAACCAAGTGACCTGATCATGGCACTTCCCCCTTTGAAGTCAGATTGTAGTATGAATGGGAATATAAAGATTTTTATATATAGTAGGAATTGCCAAGCCGCGGTGGGGGATCCGCACGTCTTCACAGGATCCCTGCCGTGGGGGACAGCGATATGCGTTGCACCGCCGTTGCCAGAATGTGACGCTACGCATCGCTCTGGCAACGGGGCTGTTTGGAGTCCCGTTGCCAGAGCGATGCATAGCATCACATCCTGGCAATGGTGGTGCAACGCGTATCGCTGTCCCCCGCGGCAGGGATCCTGTGAAGATGTGCGGATCCCCCGCTGCGGCTTGGCAGCCCTAATATATAGTTTTTTTCCGTCTTGATTGTTAATATTCATATTTCTCTGGTTTTTATAGATTTATTCTTTAAGTAATATTTTATTAGGATGTTAGAAAGGCCTGTTATATAGAAGGCTTTCCTTTTGTAGGTCTGATATTGTTAGCAAACAACATAATAGGTACAAAGTTCATGATTCTGTAGTTCTTAGGGCAAACCTTTCAATGTCTGGGTCAGATAAGATTTTAGTCTGATATGAAGAATCCTTGCCCATTATCATTTAGATTAGGTTAAGTAAACACTTAGATTGACGTAGGTATATCTTTCTTTATATCTGGCCAATCAGAGGATTATTACTCAGATTACCACTGTCTTTTGTAACAAATTATGCTGTTTGAATTTTTTTCTTGATTAGTCCATGTATAAAATATCATGTATTTCCTGAATATGTTCAGAATAGGTTCAAGAAGAAGATGAAGAAGAAAGAGAAGAAAGTAGTCAATTTTGGATGGACTATTTGGTCCAATTGTTTTTCTGCTAATTGAAATAAAACATAGATCTTCCTCCTCATTTGACTTCATTTTTGACATGGAATCTAACACGTACAACAAGATCCACATCTATTTGTTTCTATTTGTCTGGAATTTCTATCAGCACTTTTAAAAAAGGCTGTCTGTTTTCATAATCTCCTGATGAAAAGGTGACTGAAAGAATGTAAATATCCACACCTTGAACTACACAAATTGCTCCTGGGTGTGGTTCCGTCAAACATCTGCCAGTCAAAGTTGCATCTCTTAGTTTGAGGGCAAGTGTCTGTTTGTGGAGGAAGGCAGAAATAAAAACATATTAGCAGGAAAGGGATGGAAGAAAATTTAGGGAATGCAAAATGATGTCAGCTGTCCTGAATGGACATGTCTGCATATTTCAAGGTCCTGGACTTCTGTTTTTTGTAACCCATCTCCTATGCATGGTTGAATTTCAGGTTTCTGGATTCTAGGAAGTTTTCTCGGTTTGAGGTTTGCCACTTCCATGGTGCTTTACAACAATGGGACACCAGACAATTTAAATCGATGCCTGAACATTTCCAGACAACTTATGAAGGAAGCCAGTGAATCATTGAACCGGTTCAAGGTATGGCATTCTTTCTCAGCTGGCATATTGCACTGCTTATTTGGGGGGGGGGGGGCTTGGGGAGAGAGGAGTTCTTACACTTACCGCAAGGACGGGAAACACTTTCCCATTTTTACTTCTTCTTCCCTCCAGTCACAGGGAAAGTTGCAAAATGCAAGGCTTTTCTTTCTTTCTCCTCCCCCACCCAACTACAAACCTGTATAAATGGATGGTGCGACCTCATTTGTACAATTCTAGTCACCACACCTCAGAAAGGATATTATAGCACTGGAAAAAGGTTTACAAGATTATGCATGGGATAGAGCAAGTAGAGAAAGAAGTACTTTTCTCCCCTTCTCACAATACAAGGACTCATGGGCACTCAATGAAATTGCTGAGCAGTCCTGTTAGAATGGATAAAAGGAAGTACTTCTTCACCCAAAGAGTAATTAACACATGGAATTCACTGCCTCTCCTTGAGTCCTGAATCTAGCCAAGCTGGCCTTTCTGATAGATATTTGTACCTCACTTTTCTCACCCCTGAGGACCCAAAGTGGTTTAAAACACTGGTCTAAAATAGGATGTGAAGCGGGTTATGCTGAGAGAGAGAGGAGTCACCCAGCAATCTTCCCTGACAGAGAGAGGACTGGTGAGGAGGAGCTTCACAGAATATGTGAATTGGTGAGGTCTAAGCAAGGAAGAGGCTCACACACACACACACCCCGCATCATCATCTGCCACAGTGTATGCCCAGCCTTTTGTGGGGGGAACCACCTTCTTCTCTATGGTCAGGAACAACAGTAGTGTAATACATTTTCATTCAGATTAACCAAAATGTTACCAAATAGTGAGTACAAGCTTTAGAATTTCCACAGAACTCTCTGTCAGCATGGCTCCAATAAAAGGGGGTGGGTGGGGGTTTAAGGGGAAAAAAAATTAAGGCAAGATGAAAAGCCCCAAAGTCTGTCTTCAGGCTGCCACTTTCTTGAAACTTGAGGGCTCTGAAAATATAAACACCAACAGTTTGTCCAAGGAGATAAGGAGATATATCAAGATAGGTAGCTGTGTTAAGTCTGTCTGTAGCTGTAGAAAAGTGAGCGGTGACTCACGAGAAAGTGCAGGCCGGCCATCTCTCCACCTTGAAAGGACAGCAATAATAATAACAGCAACGAGACACTTTTCACTTCTTCAGATACAGCTCAAATTCTGAAGAAGTGAGCGGTGACTCACGAAATCTCATACCTTCAAGTAGGGTTGCCACAGGTTCCCCCAGGCTACTGGGGTGGGGGGAAGGGTGGCCAGCTCCAGGCTAGGATACTCCTGGAGATTTGGGAATGGAGCCTGGGGAGGACAAGGACCTCGGTGGGGTACATTGCCATAAAGACCACCCTCCGAAGCATCCATTTTCTCCAAGGGAAATGATCTTTGTAGTCTGTAATTCCAGGGGATCCCCAGGTCCCACCTGGAAGCTGGACCCCCAACTGTCACAAATTTTTGTTAGTGTTTAGGGTGCGGCTGGACTTTTGCTCTTTTCTGCTGCTACAAGCAGGGCTACTACTCGTTTTGATCTAAGGACACTAGGACCCAGCTGGCATGCGCGCCTTCCCGCCCTCTCAAAAGAGCGCGCAGAAGGCGGTGGGAGGGAGAGGCTCAACTTCGCCGGCTACAGCCTTCCACTTTAAACAGGGTGCCCCTGCACAAGTCCAGAATTACGCTTTGTTGGTCTTAAGGTTGCCCCTGGGCTCCGTTCCGCTTTAAAGTGGCTCAGAGGGAAGAGAAACAGACAGGACGTCTCGCAGCAAGCTTGCCTGATTAGGCGGGGACTCCCCGCGGCTGCCGCTGGGTTCGCTTTCAGTCAGCAGACGTGGAGGGCGGGGCCGCGGGTGGTTTCCCGGGGACTCCGGCCGCACCACCGCTTTAATCAACGGTGACTCCCAGTAAACTTTTCCGAAACTTTGCCTCCCGCGCCATAGACTTTGGTCCCCGGGTTGGTTTTTATTTTAACTCGTAGCTACAAGGAGGTGTAGCGACGAGTATGTCTTTTGCTCCGTTTTTATCCCCTGGTAGCTTCCCCCCCCCCCCTTGATTGATTGAAGCTTCAAAAAGATCTGGCTTTCGGAGTCTGGCTGACAATCAAAAGCACACACCTGCCAGGACCAAAGGAAACAATGCCCCTGAGCATACGCAGAATGCTTTTTTAAAAAGTTGCTGGGACTCAGAACATTAACTGCAAAAAAAAAAAGAGAGAAAAGGATGTTTCAACGAATGAAGGACTCCAAACTTTTGATCAGGTCCAGCTGCAGGACCACCAAACACTACAACATGGCTAGGGATTTGATTATTATTTTTTTTAAATGAGAAAGACCACCAACAGCTTGATGGCTAAGCAGAGATCTGAAGCTGGATCTTAATGCTCAAGCCACTACACAGCTCCGTCTATAATGGAATCTCTATGAGTAACATAGTCTAAGCAAGGAGTCACTAAACTATTACAGTAAATTATTTCTCCAAGGCAAATGTTCTTTGTGGTGGGCAAATGGACTGTATTCTTTATTCTCTGAAGTTTCTTGAACGATGGAATGAGCAAACCTTCCTAAATTTAGATGCAGGACTCATACCTTGTTCTTCCTAAACTTAGCCCACTGAAAGAGAATAAAAAATTAGCTGCTAGGAGTTCCAGGAGAAGACGTGCAGGACGGAGGCTGGTAGGGACTGAGCTGTCATTGCCACCTGACCCGGTGCCTGTTACATCCAGGTTTCCAGTGCTGGAATGAATCCATTTACTCAAAGTTTGTTTGGCAAAAGAATTTACTACTTTTATCCTATCTTTCCTGGTTCCTAACACTGGCTTTACAGAATATCAACAAGGGGGGGGAAATTGAAGTAAAACAGTCCTTTTCTCCAGAAAAACAATCCAAAAAAGTGTTTGGCACTCTGCTTAATAGGTATAGGTTAAATCTTTAAAAATGAATTAATTTATTCCAAATAACACAATGCTAAAACATCTATGAAACATGTTCTTACGGAAATGCTTTTGCAATATTTTCAAGGGACTGCAAAAGTCATATTTATACTTTAAAAAGGTTAAGTTCTTTTCACTGCAATCCAAACCAGAGTTTCACCCTTCCAAGGCCACTGAAATCAGTGGGCTTCATGGTGAGTAACTCTGTTTAGGAATGCACTGTAGCTATACGAATTAAAGCTAGTCACATTAGGAAATAATCAGATAGTTGCTTCAATGGAAAACAATTTCTTTGTGCTGATTTACATCATCCCTGACAGGTAGGTTTGTCTGCTGGCACTTGAAAGGCTGATGGGAGAAAAAGGCAACAGATTGAGGGGCATGTGA